AGAGTTTAAAGGAGGGGACTGAACCCACCTTTGTCTGATGTCCAAGGCAGGGCCTGAACTTGTCAGTCTCTAGGCTAATTTCACATCACCTTGCCCCTGACCTGTACCTCTGCAGCTCCCTCCTCACTTCCCCAGACGGAGTGGCTGCCCCTTTGTGGATGAGAGGAAGAGTTGCTTCATCCTGTCCAGCAGAAAGCCAGCACCTCTCACCCTTCTGTGCCAGGAGGCAATGGACACGTGCCTCCCTCCCACCCTGGATTAACTTGGAGGGGAGCTGCCTGTCACGGGGCCTACAATTACACAAAGCAAGATTTGCCGAGGCAAGCATTACCAGTCCAAGGCAGGCAGAAAAACAAAAAGCAAAAACAAAGCAACAACTTGAATTCTGCAGTTGTCTCAGGCATAACAATGGAGCCAGAAGACTCCCTCGGAAAGAGAAAAGAACCAATTGCTGTTTCCCTGGCCTAAGTTGTGTGTGATCCAAAAATAAGGGTGCAGCTGGCTGGGAGTCTTCAGAGTCGAGTCTCAAGTGGTTGTTAGATATTTTTTATATTTGATTTTATTTTTTCGAGTGATCAGTGATTCAGAGCCAGGGCTGGGGCCTTGGGGATTAGAGGCCAGAGAAATCGCCCAAGGCTGTGCTCTCTGGGAATACAGACTGATGACTCTCTGCTGGCCTCTTCAGGCCTTAGTTTCTTCTCCCTGGGCAAGGAGGAGAATCAGTTCCTGCTTGCGGTGGAGACGTGTTATGCCAGAGGTCAAGGTTGCTCTTGTTGGGGGAACCTTTCTAAAAGACATTGGCTCTACATTTCTGATTCCACGTAGCCTGGCTGGGTGGGCTCAAATTCTGAGCCTCTCCATTTTCACCACTGCGGTCAAGGTCATCTCCTTGCGTGGGTTCTGCCTGAGCTGCATCCTTCTCTGTATCTGCCAACTCACTTCTCAGCAGATGATTAGACCCTGGGGTTTATCATGTCTCAGTCTACCCAGATGCAAAAGTATTTGCATCAGTACTTCTACCACAGAATTGACACAAAGGTGAAACAACCTCTTAATGGCGAATGTTTCCTGGTATTTCCTCTGTGCCAGGCTCTGTTCTAAGAGATTTGCTCGTATTAACTCACCTAGTTCCCACAATGACCTATGAGAGAAGAACAGTTTTTGGTGTATTTCATCTGTTCTCAGATGCACATTCCAACATCTCTGAAACTGGGGCACATCTTATTGCAAACAAGTTATAGTTTAAGTCAGGAGATTTTTTTCCCTAAAAATTATGATGCATCTTGAAATGGAAGTCTTCTTAGGTTAGTAAAATATGATGTGTCCATTGCACAGATGGGGAAATGGAGGCAGAGGAAATGATTTGCTCAAGGCCACGTAACGTAGTTAAGTGGCAGAGTTGGGTTTTTTTTTTTTAAAGATTTATTTATTTATGCACACAAGAACTGGGGTACAGGCCAGAGGTGCAGGAGGGTGAGAGGATTCACCAGAGACAGAGCAGGTTGCAGACCAGGCAGATTGACTGCAAACACTGCTGAAGGGAACAGCGGGCAAGACAGAAGTCTGCTGTGCCATGTGGGTAGCTCCCTGGCCAGGGATCGAATGCATGCTGCAGAGGCTGCAGATAGCTTCACAGTGCTGTGCTTAACCCCTTGCACCACCAGGGAGGCCCCAGAGTTGGATTTTGAACCCACCCAGTTTGCTGAAGTATATGCTCTATTTTAATCTCTGAGTTTGGGTCTGAGCAGCCAATGTGGGGATGTTTCTTTCTCCTGCTGAGTTTTTAATGACAGCTGGGGAGGCACCAAGAAACAGCACATGTCTAAAAGATTCCACACCTTTGAAATTTTTGCCAACGGCCATTTCTGCATTTCCATTCTAGAACATGGAACAGAGGCGGGGTGGGGGTCTAAGTGACCCTAGCCTTTTCCAAGGAGGAAAATGTGGGTCCAGGGTCTTCTATACAAGCCCTGCCCCATTCCTACCCCATGGCTAATCTCATTAGACTTCTCTTTTGCTTCCCGGGGAAACAAAGGGAAAAGAGACTCCCTAAAAGATTAGGCAGCCCTACAGACGGTTTCCTAAACAAATGCAGTTCAAGCAGAGGATTTACATATATTATTCATATTCCTTCCACTGGGGAAAAAAACCCGACTCGAAGCTGTTGTACAAGACAAGGAAGCACTGTGACATTAGTTGGGATAGAACCACCTCCGCCTCTGCCCCCTGGGAAGGAAATGGTCAGCTGCAGAGGGCTTCAGGACCCATTTGGGTTCCCCCATGACACCGGCACACAGTGGACTCATGGCAAGTGGTGTTACCACGAAGCCAGCGTGGCTTCACCCACCTCTGTGACGCCAGATCCTCCCCGTGGATACTGACCTGGCTGCCTAACATTTATTATTCTCTTTGTGTTCAAAAACCTCACCAAAGCTGAAAGCTATTGGAAGCCAGTGAGTGTATCTTACACCTTCTTTTTGCATCCTCCATGATGTATTAATCACGATTGCTGCTTGATGAGCGTGGTGAGGCAGGGAGGCCTTGAATTCTCGAGCCAGGCGGGTGCAAGTTCAAATCCCCACCTTGTTCCTTGCTGGCTGGGTGTGGTGGGAAAAGGGACCTGCCTCACCGGGCCTTGGTGTTGTCCTCTGTCTCATGAGGGGGTTAACAGTTCATTTTGAGGTGTTATTTTGAAACATCACATATAAACACTTCAGCTCAGAACCTGACAGGTGGTGAATACTCAATATTTACCAGCTATCATCATGGGTGTCACCACCACGGCAGTTAGTATGGGTTGGATTTCTACCAGAAGTCAACCTTACACTCTATATGTTTTGTTGGAGCCTGTCACTTTCTGGTCGGCCTGATTTAGGTTATGCATGCTTTATGGTAGTTCGCATTTCTCCAAGCCTGATCCTGCAGAGATGAACCAGGGACATGGTGAGGTCTCCTTTATTTTCAGAAAGTGGGGAGGATTTCAATGAGGTTTTTTGTACCAAAACTCTTTTTTTGTTTTTTTAAGATTTATGTATTTATTTTTTATTTATTTCTACAAGCACTGGGTACAGTCAGAAACGCGGGAGGGTGAGAGAATTCACCAGAGCCAGAGCAGGGAGCAGAGCAGGCAGAAGGACGGAAGTACACTGCTGAGGGGAGCAGCGGGCGGCAGGAGAGGTCTGCGCGCCACGTGGGACCCTCCTCCGGTGGCCGGGGAGCAGCCGGGGATCGAACCGGTGCTGCAGAGGCTGCGGGCAGCTTCGCAACCCAGAGCTCAACCGCTGCGCCACCGGGGAGGCCCTGTACCAAAACTCTTAGTTGAACCAATAAGTCCTGGAAACCTTCAACCCTTGTCTTGGCCTCCCTGAGTCCCACCCGAACCTCCTCCTAAGAAAGAGTCGATCATGCCAACCCCTGTATCTTTCTCCACACTCTCCCTCTCTCTATCCCAAGGTGGAAAACTCTGTAGCATTTACGTGGGTACATGGTTTTTATCCCTCCCCAAATCTAAGACACACACACACACAGGAATCTGGTTAGCGTCCCCTTCTCTGTGCTCCTACAACACCCAATGCTATGTCCCCAGGACGTCACCAACCACCTTGCATTATAATTCATTACAGTTATGTTTCTGATCACCTTCACTCCTCATCCCAAACACACACACTAAAGATTGCGACATTTTTAAAGGCAAGTCTCATTTGTTCCAAGAGCAAGTGTTTAGCACATACCAGGGGATTCAGGAAATGTTTGCTAAATGATCAAACGATATAACTGAGGCCTGGGGAGTGCTTACTATGCCGGAAACAGTCGTAGATCTTTGGAGCATGTTATTTAATAGTCACAGCAATTGTATCCACATTTGACAGATGGCAACACTGAGGCAGAGCAGTCCCATGGCTTACCCAAGGTGACTGCCAAGGGGGAGATGCAGGGCTCAGCCCCAGGCTGTTGGTACCCACGTGCTCACAGTCATCTCTGACTCTGAAACCTCCAGCTTGTTCTTCAGTCTCTTCCCCCGTTGCAATGCTGGGAAGTTCCACCCCAGAGGGGGCTGCTATGTGGATGGAATCTACTTCTAGGCAGCACCCTAAGAAGGCTAAGCAAGAGGGGTGCACTCATCCTGAGAAAAGAGAAGCTCAGGAACTCTTGGACCATCCTGTCCAAGAGTTGCAGGCTCCCCTGTGTGCTGCTTCTTGGGCACAAGGAGCCATGAAGCTGGACCACAGAGGCCAGCGCTGCCTTTTAAACTTCTCTCCTCCTGCTCACCTACCTTGGACACTCAGTGGCGATGGGGAGATTTGAGGATGCAATAACAAATACACACTTAAATTTGTGGTCTATCGGTCATGATCACTTAGAAGCAGAAATGTATTGACTCCGGTCATGAGGCCAGGAAATACATACCTCTCGCTCTTTATCTTCCAAATCAACAACAGCATTTCCTGCCACATCTACACATAATCAAGTGCCAGCATCATGCGAAACAAGGTCCCTATCTGACTTAGTTTAGTTTTCACACAGTTTTGGCCTGTTCTCATTTTGCAGACACAAGGAAATAAAGGCTCAAGGATGCTAAGCTACCTGTTTGAGGTCAACAGATGGGAAGGAGCAAAGTTAGGTTCAGACTCTAAAGTTTGACCCCCAAGTGTCTCTCCCTAAGAGAGAGATTGTGCACACGAGCCCAGCAGAACTCTCAAAATCATTCCTGCAACAGCAAACCCACAATTCATCTTCATTTTTTTCTGATGTTCTACAGTGTCACTGCCGATTTAGTCCATCATTTTGGAATTACTGGCTAATGGGATGCCTCACTGTTCTGGCTTGAATGTTCATTCTTTATGAGAAAGTAGCCATCGATAGCTGCGGAGATGTGTCCTGACAATTTAATTATACCATGACTCTTCTCTCCTCCCCTGCCCCTTGTTGGTCTGACGCTAATTCCTATTTCATTTGGTCTAGAAAACACGAGTGGTTTTGGCAGAGAGGGCGAGACTTACCTGAGTTAGATGATCTGAGGTATGCAATGGCCAGAGGATGCCTGAGAAGGGGGAACTCTGAACTTTCTTGGCGGCTGGGATCTTGGTCATCTTGGAAATCCTTCAGATTCAATCTGCACCACCCCAGGAAAGGGTTTTTCCAGAATCTTCTATTTCAGCAGCCACTGCTGTGAGGGGCTCCAGCAATTTCTTCCTGACTTTCAAGTCCCAATCACACAAACTCTGAAGGTGTGTCTGACTGAGGAGTAACGAGAAAGCAGCTCATCTGGGTGGGTTTCACACCAATTGGATAAGGACTTCGGGATGCGGTAGGCCAGACAAGCCTGAAATTATTCACTTTTAAGAAAGTTATAAACTTTTTTGAACTTGCCCTCTTTTTGGAAGTTCTTTCTCTCACCTATAAACAAAAATAACATATGGACTAAAAAAAACAAAACACTCTACCCCGACAGTCTCAGGGGGGCCCATGGCGAGGCCCCCAGGTCCTCATCCTGGGTATGCTGCTTAGTTTCCCACTGTCTGGGAGAGAAAGCGGCTGTTAACCGCTGGGCTCCTGTCATCAACCTCTCTGCTGAAGTCAACTCGGTTGCCAGGCAACGAGACGCTGTGGAGGGCATCCTCATTGGCTGGGATTGGTGGGGGCGGGGTCTTGAACTGTGCCAGGTGCTGGGGGATGGTGGCTGGGAGCAGGAGGCTGCCCAGGGAGCCACATTCTCCCAACTCTGCTTTCTTCTCTTAGACCTGAGGACCTCTACCCTTTTCTTTCCACAACTACAAGTGATCCCTTCCTTCCAAACTCTGCTCCTTCCTGCCACTAACCCACTATTGATTTCTTGTAACTTGGGTTGATTAGTTTGTATGCCTTTAGCCCGCCATTATAACCTGACATGCTTATTTCTCTCCTCTTCCATCTGGCAAACTCCTACTCATCCTTCAAAGCCCTCCTTCCCCACCCACACTATGGTATATATGACACTTATGGAGTGCTGAGAATGTGCTAGACATTGTTCTGAGGGCTTTACATATAATAACTCAAATTGTCACAGCATGTCTTTAAACAAAGTGCTTTATGATTCTATTTTATAGAGTAGGAAACTGTGGCCCAGAACAATCGAATCACAGGTCCACACAGAAAGTGCCCAAGTCAGAGTTGTTTGATTCTAAAACCCAAACCATAACTACTTTGCTTTATGACCTGGGATAAGATGCCCAATTTTGCTGAACTTGGGTGTCCATATCTTTAAAAAGGGAAAATCAGCTTTACCACAGGTTCTCACAGGTATAGTAAGGCTGAGCACAGTTCTGGCTAACTGGCCATGCCCTGGAATAATCAGTCATTTCACCACCCGGTGTTCATTTCACAGTCGATAGTAAAACTATTTATTGATTACTTGCTTGATGCCAGGCGCTCTGCTAAGCACTTTACATACATTAATTTATTTAATCATTTCGATAGCCCTATGGGATAGGTTCCCCACTTGCAAAAGATTTATTGCACCTGCTCTGATTGCATGCATTTATCCTTGGCATTATTTCACACCGGATCAATGTGATTCATGTTCTATCTCTAAACCTTGAGTTGCTGAGGATTATGATGTCATCTTGGCCACGTGATGACCTCACCTCCTCCTTAGAAGGCATCAGCTATAAGAGGACACTCCAGAGAATGCAAAATGCCCAGCTGCACTGCTCCAGATGGGGCTGCCTGGAAGTCATTATTTTCTCGCCACTGTCAGAAGACTGAGCTAACCTTCCCTTTCATGGGAAATTTGGTCCTCCTGCTTCCTCTGTGGACAGCATTAAGCAATCAGAAAGCACTTTCAGAAGGATGTGGATAAATGAAACTGTGTTCAGAGGATGGAGCTGGAGATGAGAAAACAAGACAAAATGTGAACTGTTCAGCCCCAAGGAGAACACACAAAAGACTGTCTTCATACAGCATTGAGTTATGGACTTGACAGGGAGGGACTCAACTACCTCATAGGAGCCCTTTTCTCCTGCACAGATCCAGTTAAAGACGCATGCCTGAGGATCAGGTCTTCCCTCATGATTCCTTGGGCAGCTCTTCTTGCAGGAAAACTTTAAAAAGGGAGCTACGTGGGACAAACCATAACCTTTGTGCTTTTGTGCTGTGTTTGGTTTGGGGGTTGCAACCAGTGTTCACCTCTTCCTCCTCTGGTATCTATTCTGAATTCCCCTTACCCTCAGCTCTTCTTTCTGCAGGTGCCAGGGCTTAGCCAATGATGTGATCAATATTTTCTCTCCTGAGGAATCTGAGCCCCAAAGTAAATATGTCCCCCTCAGTGTCTCAGGATTACTGCAAATGTCCATTCCTAGTACTAAGAGGAACCCGGGGTGAACACCAGGGTCCCACACACATTCTCTGCTCCCTGTTCCCTGCTCCTCGTACATGATCATTGATCAGGGTCGGTTACCCCTGTCCAAATAGCGACCCCTCTTCTTGACCACTGGTTCCTACACACGAGTCCAAAGTGTCTGTGGAAACTGTCATATAATACTGCTCATTGTCAACATAACCCACGCTGTGTCTCCAACACGCATGCCTGCTTTGGGAATCAAGACCTCTAACCCTGCAGAGCCCAGGATTGAAGGAGTGCACAGGATGCCCTGGCAGTGGATTATGGAGCATGGTGGAAAGTGGTGTTATCACCCCAACTGTAGTCCTTGGCTCCTGGAACCATGAACTTGTCCTGTCCTACTGGGGGTGCAGTGCCATACAGAGCTCTGATTTGATGCATCTGCTTCAATGGTAGGATACACCCCACCCTTGCAACATATTCCTTCTGAACTGGCACTTCAGTTATGTGTTCAATAGACTGGGCCAGAACTCTAGAAGGTCAGCTGCTTCTGAGTTGTATGAATCCCCTGGTCTTGTGAACAGCGTCGAGCACTCAGAGTTTGCATGACATGGAGACAGTGCTGGTAGTGGCTATTGCTGGTCACTGGACCCAGCCCCCTCCACATGTGACATTTAGTTTCCAAGAAGGGCTCCCTGCTATCATTTTGCCTGACACCCTCCCGTGGTTGCAGCAAAGGTCCCCAACCTTTCGGTTCATGGAGCCCTTTGCTTCCCAATAATTTTTTTCACAGTACCCTTAAATCTAAAGAAATGGCTTATGAGTTGTATTTATTATGGAGTCGGGTCCTCACAACTTAGTAAAATGTATACTAACAACTTGGTAGCCATTTGGAAAAACACTACACAGAAATTGAAAGGAGAGTTAATATTTGCAGTTGATGCTTAGGTAGCCACAGTTCCCTGCTAATGAACAGGGGCACGTGGTGGGCACTGCCAGATTTCTCAAACCTCGAAATCAGATTGGAAACAATCACCCTCAGTTTTGACGTTTGATTTTTTGTGTAATTCTCACTTTCTGTCATTGCAACTTCCCAAGCCCTCAGTTTTTCAAAAAATACAAGCTCATGAGGAGAATGTCATGCAATGTACTGTTGAAACTGAGTTGTTAGCTGACTAGGACCACCATATCAGTTACCACGGGTGGGGTAACTTCAGAAACAGGATTTTCTCACACGCTGGAGGCTGGCGTTGGAGATCAAGTCGTGGGCAGAGTTTGCTTCTTTTCAGCGCTGTTCCCTGGCTTGTGGATGGGCTGCTACCTTCTCCCTTTATCGTCATACAATATTTCCTCTGTGTCCAAATTGCCTCTTTTCCTAAGAACATTAGTCAGATTAGGACCCACTTTATGGCATCATTTCAACCTAATTGCCCCTTTAAAGAACTTATTTCCAAATAAAGTCACATTCTGAGGTTCAGGGCTGGGAGTAGTGGGTAGGTAGAACTTCAATATATTAATTTGGGGAAGATACATATCCCATAACCTTGAGCTTGTGCAGTCTTGGGTAAATGTCACTGTGTTTCCCTCACATATTTAAATTATCCCTTTCCTCTCCTGTGAATTTGCCGTGGCACCCTGGGGGCACCTTGGAGCACAGTTTGGGAACCAGGGGCTGTAAGCCTGTGTTCCACCCTCGAGCAGCTTGGGACTGCAAGAAATTCTCTCTTGCAAGAGTAAACACAAAGCAATGGCTAACAGAAGTTTGTAGTGTTGATTTCAAAATATAAACCATGGGTTATTTTACCAGCAAAAGGGGCTCACTTGGAAATAGCAGTGTTGTTGCACTTGAGGAGATGCATGCTCTGCCTGATTATAGGCATGTCCAGAGTACAGAGAGAAGAGCTTACTTATGCAGCTGAAATGGGGCAACAGGAGTAGACCTCCTTGGAAGGTGAAGGACATGCTACTTCCTATTAGGACTGGCGGTGAAGACAGTGCATGTAAATGATGGTAATTGGTAATGTGTGAGAGCGCCCCCTATAGGCCTCCCAACTCTAGCTGTAGCAGAAGTTTCCTTGATTTCCTTGGTGGTTATATATGGCACCTCCTCCATCTTCTGTTAGACATGTTCTCTACTCTCCGCAAGATCCCCTCTTCGTCACTGACCCAGCAGTGGCTTCTGCCTGGATGACCTCCCCAATAAACCACTTATATCCAAATTCTCATTCCTGGATCAGCTTCTGGGGCACCCAACCTAGGTCAGTGCTGACTGGAATAACCAGGGAGGTGAGACCTGAGTCAGGCGCTAAAGTTTTCTTTTACCTCATCTGGTGACTTGGACTTACCAGCTTCTTTGTCACCTCTCCCCCTGACTCCGGGCTCGCTGTAGCTCTCAAGGATACCAAGGATATCCCAAAGGGTTCCTTGAGATTCTCCCCGTCCTTAAACACTGTGTGGCCAACATGTTTTCAGATATGCAAATACATCCCTCGAAGTGAAATATTTGACAACTAAGATACAAAGTGATTGTTTCATTCTTAATTCTGGGTTGATTTATGCCAAATAGGAACAGAAAGATGGGGAACGACAGGCATTCTCTCCTCCCAATTTGCCAAAAAAGAAGGCCTCCGAAGGGTTTAAAAATAGACTTATCAAGGAGAAGAAAAATTTTGGAATGTGTTGGACGCCAGCTGGGGTAGCTAAAGTGAAAGCTCAGAATCTGTTAAACACTTGAATTTCAGTCAGTAATACATATGTTTGGCATTAAAAACCAATTGGAAAAGTCATCCTTTTCTGGATATCTTTAGTATACTTTTTCGTGTTGAATCTAGCACCCGGAGAACTCCTTCTGGGTATTTTTACTGAAATGTCAGCACTGGATTTACAAATGATGGGGCCCAGGGCAAGAGTAAAACTTGGGGCTCCCTTGGCACCTGGTAGCTGGCACTCTGTTGATGAATTGCTGCCAGGATGATGCGAATTTGCACCACCTCCACGGATTCCTGTACTTCATTAGGTTAAAGAAAGATTACTGCTTGTTACGCTGCTCCTCAGAGGATCCGTGGCCACATATTGCATTTCTGCCTTATCTTCCAAATTACACCCCAAGATCGGGAGGTGAATTTGGATCTCTGAAAATGAAAAGAAGGAAATGCACTGTTACCCTCCCTCATTGGGATATTCCGTCCAACAGCAGAGGAAGGGGTGTGGCATTTGGAAATATTCTTGGATAATGCTTTCACTTTTTTTTTTTTAAAGATTAT